GCTTGAGGAGATTGTTGTCGAGAAGGATAGGAGGATCGAACTATTAGAAGAGGAATGCTTAGTGTAAAACTGTGTCGAGCTTCACAGCCTTCTTAGTTAGGTCGTCAAAATTTTTCCATGGTCATATCTGATGTTATGAGTGGTCCTCTAGCGAATACTATCTGCTCAAGTCGTTATTGTCGGTAAATACCATGCACATACTCTGTGTTGTGCGCCGCGGAACCAAACCAAACACCAAGAGAGAAGGCAACTCAAATCAAACAATAACGTCACTAACTCAAACACAAAAGTTTAACGTGGTTTGGCAAATTGTCTACGTCCACGGGGCAAGAAGGGATGTGTTTCCACTATATAGAGAAAAGAGAGTACAAAGTAGAGATTACAAGATCACTCAACTAATCTCTCAAACAAATCTCACAAACTAAACCCTCAAACAATTGCTCAGAAAGATCTCTCTTTTCTGTGCTCAAAATCACCTTCAAGCTACCCCAAAATCCAATTCTAGCAATTGGAACGATAGAAAACCCTAAACAAAACGCATTTCTATTTATATCAAATAGAAAACCCAATCAGAACAAGAAACCAAGCCCAGGCCCAAAACCGCATCGCGGTCGACCGCCGCGCCAGTCGCGGTCGACCGTGAAACGATAGAAAACCCTAAACAAAACGCATTTCTATTTATATCAAATAGAAAACCCAATCAGAACAAGAAACCAAGCCCAGGCCCAAAACCGCATCGCGGTCGACCGCCGCGCCACTCGCGGTCGACCGCAAAAAATCTATAAACTTTTCCTATGTTCGTGCACGTTCTCGGTCGATCGCTGCGCCACTCGCGGTCGATCGGACCGAACTCAAAACTGTCATCCGTTGTTTCCTGAACTTCGTTGTTTCCTCTTCAATTCTCCACATCGGTGAAGTTTTCTCAAAACCGAGCCGACACCAACCAAACCAAATATCTCACTTGTTGCGTCAAGTACGAAGTGAAACAATTTACGATAACGGACTCAATCCACAACAAGTCGGGAACCCAAATGAGAATGCGAACAAACTCCAAAACGTCAATATCTACCCATCAAATTGGCTGCATCATAAATAACTGCCTATGTATCTTCTTGCCAAAAGAATCAAGTCTTCACGTAGTTCCCCAAATGACCTCCAAAGGTTATCAATCAAATAGAAAAGTTCTCAACTCTTCACCAACAAATATGCGGCTGATAGCTCTCTAAATGGCCCCAAAGTGAAACAAATCAAACACCTTCACCTGAGGTGAATCAATGACCGTATCCAAATCATATCCACCAGCTGCATTCAAATCAACCAACTCATTATCTGCACCCAAATCCAAATGATCCCCTAACTGTGTCACCTCAACGGGAATCTCAAACGATGCAGTATGGTCTGGAGTATGTGGAGTAATCTCCACCTAATATGGAGTAGCATCACTCTCCACCCGCTGCAATACATCTAAGGTCTGTCCAAAACTCTCCACCTGCTGAGAGTCAATTAGCTCACTCATCGAAGCCTCAACCGAAGTGACACTACCAAACCAAACATCCAATGGAGTTTTACCTCCAATAGCAGCAGTCGACAACCTATGACCAAGATGACCCAAATATGTCGAAGCCTCAACACCAGAATCAATGCTCAACATCAAACGCCGGTCCTCCTCCAACAAGGAACAACTTATCAAATCTTCCATCTCATCTTGTTGTCCCAAGATTTTCTTTCCACCGAAGTGTCTCAAAATGCCGTGAGCTCGGCTCAAATGCAGAAACAGGTCCCTCTTGTACCTCCTACCAAAATCAGAATGAAGTACCTTCATATTTTTGCCAATCTCACACTTCTTCAAACTGTTGAAGACTACTAGGACTTTATCCAATCGAGATTTGGTTGCAACCCAAGTATGCCTAGAATAGCCACCAACAAAGGAAACCAAACATTGATTACCTCCCAAAGATGCCTCCTTGGAGGGCCCCCAAACATCCGTGTGAATTCGATCTAAAAGACCCTTCGTGCGGTGAATAGATGTGTCAAACTTTACCTTGGTCTTCTTACTCACATCAAAGTGTTCACTGGACTTCAAATTGTAGGTCCGTGCACCCATCTCCAAATCAATACTGGAATGACAAAGCCCCACATGTTGCAGTCTAGTCGAATCAACAGAAGTTGTCAGATCTTCACCTGTCACCGAACTTCCAATCAAATAGTATAGGTTATTCCTTCTGACGTCCTTTATCACAATCAAAGAGTCTCCCATGATTTCGAGAACCATGTCCTCAACACGAACCTTCAGACCCTCTCTAACCAAAGCTCCAATTGAGATTAAGTTCTTCCTCAAGGAAGGAACATATCTCACACCATATAACTCACTAACAGTCTCGTCAAACATCTTGATGCAAATTCTTCCTATCCCAATGATCTGACATGAACGGTTGTCTCCCATGTATACCACACCATTATCCAACTTCTCAAAACTGGAGAACTACTCCCTTCTAGGGCGCACATGATAGGTCGTACCACTATCCAACATCCACTCAGATTCCTCCGAATAGTTACCTGTAAGACTGATAGAAAGCGAATAAATAGAAGTATCAGAAATATTACCATACGATATAATGATGTTTGCTTCTGATGATGGTTTCTTCCCTTTTCCTTTCTGCTTATTCTTCATCCATTCGTCAAACTTTGGACAATCTTTCTTCCAATACACCAAGCACACTGATCTTTTCTAACTGTATGATGCCCTACTCTGCACGGTGATTTCCAAATCTTCCGGTTTGGATTCTTCCCTCTTGCAACCAACGTCTCCGCTACTGTCTCAATTGAAGTCTCCTTATCCTTCTTTCGAAGCTGATAATTCACAAATGCAGTGGTGACCTCACTATACGAAAGAGACGTCTTCCCATTAATTAGGGTAAGAACAAAGATCTCATATTCCTTATCTGGTAAGGAACTCAATAACAACAAAGCTTTGTCCTCATCCTCTATCATAACATCCACATTCACCAAATCCGCAAGAAACTTCGTGTAGTGGTTCATGTGATCACTAATAGAGGTTCCCTTCTTCAATTGGAAGCGATAAAGTCTCCTCTTCAAGTGTAAGCGATTTTCCACATTCTTGGTCATATACTTGCTCTCAAGGGTCTCCCAAATCTTCTTAACCGAAGTCTCATTCATCACATCATACTTCAAATCTTGAGTCAAATAAGACCTAATCACATCACACGTCGTTCTGTTCATCTTCTTCCAAACATTCTCATCAATATCATCTGGCTTTCCATCCAATTTCAAAACATCTTCCAAATTTTACGCGTTCAGCGCATCCAAAACCTCACATCTCCATAATCCAAAATTGTTCGTGCCATTAAACTTCTCCACATCTATCTTCGTAGAGTGGATATTTAAATTTTGAATGGTCTTCACACCAGAAGCACCACCCTCAACACCCGAAGTACCTTCTTTCCCAGTCATCATCCTCAACACACCAACAACCAATGCGGAACAAACTGAAGAATAGATCCAAAACTGAGAAAAGATAGAATTTTTACCAAAAAGTACCCACCTTAACTCCAAAACAAAACCCTAGCCGAACTTCCAAAGTGATCTACTCCTCTAAAATAGCCCAAGTGTAACCCGAGATCTGATACCACTTGTTGTGCGCGGCGAAACAAACACAAACGCCGAGAGAGAAGGCAACTCAAATCAAACAATAACAGCACAAACTCAAACACAAAAGTTTAACGTGGTTCGGCAAATTGCCTATGTCCACGGGGCAAGAAGGGATGAGTTTCCACTATAGAGAAAAGAGAGTACAAAGTAGAGATTACAAGATCACTCAACTAACCTCTCAAATAGATCTCGCAAATCTCACAAACTAAACCCTCAAATAATTGCTCAGAAATATCTCTCTTTTCTGTGCTCAAAATCACCTTCAAGCTACCCCAAAATCCAATTCTAGCAATTGGAACGATAGAAAACCATAAACAAAACGTATTTCTATTTATATCAAATAGAAAACCCAATCAGAATAGGAAACCAAGCCTAGCCCAAAACCGCATCGCGGTCGACCGTGGCCAATCGACAGAGAACAAAAAACCACTACAGGGTCTCGCGGTCGATCACCGCGTCACTCGCGGTCGACCGTAAAAAATCCAAAAACTTTTCCTGTGTTCGTGCACGTTCGCGGTCGACCGCTGAGCCACTCGCGGTCGACCGGACCGAACTCAAAACTGTCCTCCTCTATTTCCTGAACTTCGATGTTTCCTCTTCACTCTGGGTCGTAATCTCGGAGTTACATCCTCTCCCACTTCAGGGTCACCAGAGACCGTCATTATTTAGACAGTTGTGATTTAATCCGAATATAATTAAACATCATATCATCTATAAATTGCATCATTTCTACTTCTCACTCAAAAGCAAATCATAATTTGCCACAGAATGATAAAATTGTTATAGCAGAAAAAGTAACTCTCCGTTTCCTAATCTTAATAACGGGTAGGATGTGAATCTGGTGACTCTGGGACAGGAATGATGGAAATCAACGGGCGTCGACCGCGAACGTTCTTCGACCCCTGTTGGCACAAGACAGGGACTTGATTCTCTGATATTTGAAGGAGCACTAGGACAGTGGACGGCCCGTCAAGTGCTGGCCATGGTGGTTATTGTACCGCCAACAGGCCCAACGACTTCCGAATGCACTGACTAGGTATCTTCAGAGATTTTTAAGATGCGTCGCGTTCACTTTGATTTTCTTCTCCTTCCACTTTCCACCCAAAACAACAAAACAGAAGGTGCTTTTCCTTCGTATTCTCTGCTTGCTTCCCATTTTCTTGCGCTTTCACTTTCCTCCCAGTCTCCCAAATGACGACGGGACAGTGACTTCCCTGCTCATTCTCCACTTCCGTCCAATTTCTCTCGACCCAACCGCTTCATTTTTCCATTCCAGGCCATCACGTCATTTTGGAAACATCTTGGAGAATTATGCACATCGACTATAAGCCACAGCAAACAAAAGTCGCGCATTAATCGCATCTTTACATCTGAACAAGGACCTGAGGGTAGGACATTGGGCGCAACGGATTGCATCACACGCAGAAAAATTTCGTTGTAACTCGTCAAAACAAAACAAAAGACTCACTAAAAGTCAAAGTCTAGCACTCACATCCTAATCAGTGGAGGCTTCCTTTCCTCTTACCTATAATCTACTCAACATTAAGTTATTAAAGATAAGATCACCCACTTCTTTGTGCTCGTAAGATGTTCAAATTATCGTCCAAAAGCAGCAGCACGAAATTTTTGACCATCTCAAATCCCGTCTCAATCAAAACAATCTCTTATAACAATCCAAGATCACCAACGGAAGCAAACAAATCTCTACACTGAACATGAGCCAAATAACTGCTTGTCTTCTCTTCATCCTGCTTGTCCTTGCTCAAGCCTATGCAAGGGACACGATAACTCCATCCGAATCTCTGAACGACGGCGATCTGCTCGTCTCTTCCGACGAAACCTTCGCCTTAGGCTTCTTCAGCACGACGCCTGGTCACAAATACGTCGGCATATGGTACAACAATATCTCTGTCAAAACTAAAGTCTGGGTCGCCAATCGCCAGACTCCGATCACAGACTCAAATGTGAGCTTAGTCATCACAAGCAACGGAACTCTCGCTGTCACCACTTCGAACTCGACGATACTCTGGTCAGTAAACTCGTCATCATCGTCGGTCGTGACCAACCCGGTCGCGAAACTACTCGACACGGGAAATTTTGTAGTTACAAGTAATTCTTCTGAAGAATCCTTCGCATGGCAAAGCTTCGACTATCCAACGGACACACTGCTTCCAGGCATGAAGCTCGGGTACGACCTCCGCACGGGTCTGAACCGTAACCTGACCGCGTGGAAATCTGAAACTGACCCGTCTCCTGGCGACGACTGCGTCGCCATGAACATCCACGGTGATCCGGAGCTCACCGTCTTTTTTGGCTATGTGAAGCGGTGGCGGTCTGGTCCCTGGACCGGCGATGATTTCAACGGGATACCAGAAATGAGCACCTACACAAAAACTGGATTCTCATTCAAATTTGTCGACAACAGTAACGAGATTTACTACAGTTACGACATGTCAAATAAGTCCATTCTCACTAGGCTGATGGCTAATAACACAGGCAGAGTTCAGCGATGGGTCTGGACCGGGCAAACTTGGAGTTTATTCTGGTCCATGCCAAATAACGCTTGTGAGTACGGCAAATGTGGAGCCTATAGCACTTGTGACCCTAACGCGAGCCCAATTTGCGCGTGCCTTGACGGGTTTGAGCCCAAGTCAAGTACGAACTGGAATCTTGGAGATTGGTCTGATGGGTGCATGAGGAAACATAGATTGGATTGTGTGAATGGGACAGATGGGTTTTTGGTTGTGAAGAAGGCGATGTTGCCTGATACATCGAATTCGACAGTCGATAGGAGTTTGAGTCTGGATCAGTGTCGCACAACGTGTTTGAGGAATTGCTCGTGCACGGGGTATTCGAATGCGGATGTGAGAAATGGAGGGAGTGGGTGTATTATTTGGAGCACTAAGATTATGGATCTTAGGTTGTTTAGGTTGTATGAATACGGTGGGCAGGATTTCTTTGTTCGTCTGGCTGCTCAAGATATAGGTACAGTTTCTATTACTCTAGAAATTTTACTTTGCAGCTGAGCTTAATTTATTCATAGATTTATTGTTAGCTAGCATGTTACAATTTAACGTGTTTGCTGTTATTCTCTAAATAGGGTTTGGTATAACCTACATAACGTAACTGAAATCCTACATATAAAAACCCTTCTTGAGAATGATTACCATCAGATAACAAACTTTGACCTCATAAAGATTGATATGAACCAACATTGAATTGGTTTGCTAAATGTTTCCAATAGAATCTTTGAACAGTAATTGCAAATTTAACAAAATTTCAAAAAAAAAACCTCTGTTTCGTAGAAAGTAACTAATTTTGGCTGTAAATGCTTACAGAAAGTAATTCTCACGAAAGCAAAACAAGGGTTGCCATTATAACAGTCTGCACTGTTGTGGGTTTCCTACTTTTGGTTCTTACCGGTTATTGCATATTGAAGAGGAAGAAGAGTAGAGGAACAACAGGTTCGATGATATAACTTTTCAATCTGGACACTACATCGATACTTATCATTTACCTTGGCTAAAATGTTGTTACTGTTTTTTATAGTTCCAGTTTACTACTCGAAAACTGATCACAATATGGGAGAAAGTAATGGAGGAATGAAGGATGTAGAGCTTCCTCTGATCGACTTTGGTACTCTGATGACCGCAACAAACAACTTTTCAACAGAAAACTTGCTTGGGGAGGGTGGATTTGGTCCCGTTTACAAGGTACATAATATATATACATATCTATATATCTATATATATATATTGTACTATTATATAATATAGTATGTGATATTGCATAATAATATATAATAAATATCATAAAATAAATTATATGTATAAATTACAAATTACAGTATTCCAAATCTCATAATATTGATGAAACAAACAAAATATTACAAATTATAGTATTCCAAATCCTAAAATATTGATGAAACAAACAAAATTTTAGAGATCCCAAAACCCACAAAAAAATTTATGGATTTCAAATTCTATGGTGAAACACATATCCATAAATTTAGGGGGTGTTTGTTTCGGTTTTTTTTGGGATATAGGGTGGATTTCAAGTTTTGAGATGTAAAAAGTTTTTTTTTTTAAGTTTTGGTATTCTATAAACTTTGTTTGTTTCAAAATTAATTTTGGGATATTGAATCCCTAAATTATAAAAAAATAATATATTTTTAGGATTTGTGAAATCATCTCTTTTGTTTCAACTTTTTTTTGGGATATAAGGTGGATTATAAGTTTTTTGGGTTTTAGAATTCCATAAACCATGTTTGTTTCAAAATCAAATTTTGGATATTGAATACCCAATTTATAAAAAACTATTAAATTTTAGAATTTGTGAAATCCTAACAATGAGAGAGGATTTAGGTTGGATATTGAACCCCCAAATTAAAAAAAAACTATTATATTATATTATATTAGCATGCTATACTATACAATAATTAATATAATATAAGATTAATATATTTATATATAATATTATAATAATATAATATTTAATATAATACATCTATTCCTCATAGGAGGATCCAAGAATCACTGTTCATGCTGTAGTAAATGCTGCAGTAAAAATACTGTAGCATTTTTATATATATTATGAGGAATATGGGTATGCTTGGTACCAAACACAAATTTTATGCTTGGTAGTGAGGTGGCACAATTTCCTCCACTCATTCAAATGGGGGACCACATTCACATGAGTTGAGGAGTACATGTGGATATACAACCATTTGAATGAGTGGAGGAGATTTTGCCACCTCACTACCAAGCACAACTTTTTGTACTTGGTACCAAACATACCAATTTTTCTCATATACACACACACACACACACATGAGAAAAATGGGTATGATTGGTACCAAGCACAAGTTTTGTGCTTGGTAGTGAGGTGTCATATTCCCATCCACTCATTCCAATTCCCAACCACTCCCTAATCCATGTGAATATGAGCTCCAATTTCAATGAGTGGATGGTTAATTGAGAGCATGATAAATATAATTGTATGGTTAATTGCCAGGGTAAAATAGGAGCTGGACAAGAAATTGCTGTGAAAAGACTGTCCAAAGATTCAGTGCAGGGCATTGACGAGTTTAAGAATGAGGTTATGCTGATTGCCAAGCTCCAACACAGGAATCTTGTTCGGCTTCAGGGATATTGCATTCAAGGGGAAGAAATAATGTTGATATATGAGTATATGGCTAATGGAAGTCTGGATGCTTTCTTATTTGGTATGTTTTTGCTTTATGTATTTTTAGCCAGTCATTTGAATTCTTTGGTGATCATTGTCGGTTCTATTTGGACATAAAAATAGCATAAATACAAGATACTACACAAGAAACCATTTGCTAAAAACACAAATCATGATCATTAACATGATACTACTCATACTCTTTAACATTTTACTCAAACTCAAGGTAGGCACCACCAAGAATAGTTTGTACAAAATCAACCAACCAACAGTTTTTATGCAAAGGTTTGTTGTAACGCTGAACTTTAGAAAATTTCAAAATCAACTAAATGTAAGTTACTGACAAGTTAGGATTGTACCAGACAAAAGCAGAGGAACATTGCTGGATTGGAAAACACGCTTTCATATTATCGCAGGAGTCGCTCGAGGACTTCTTTATCTGCATCAAGATTCAAGACTTAGAGTTATTCACAGAGATCTCAAAGCAAGCAACATTCTTCTTGATAAAGACATGAATCCTAAAATTTCAGACTTTGGAATGGCAAGGATTTCTGCAGGTGATGAGATAATCACTAAAACAAGAAGAGTAGTTGGTACATAGTAAGTATCAAAACAGTAGATAATCAATTTGATTATTTCAGTTGCCAAATTTTTAATGTGACATTGTTATTCAGTGGATACATGTCGCCTGAGTATGCGATGGATGGAATTTTCTCCGTGAAATCCGATGTTTATAGTTACGGGGTTTTGGTACTTGAATTAATAAGCGGGCAAAAGAATAGGGGAGTTTTCCTCTCCCAGCCTCATCTGTACCTCCTAGGAAATGTAAGTATGAAAAATTGCTCTGTGCATGCTCTTCATATACTTGATCTTCAGTTCAAAAAAAAAGTCCATCATATTTGATTACTAACCAAACCGTTAGTTTCATAAGTACAGATGTATGGGCATATGTCTACATGCAGAATAGTAGGCTAATAATAAAGAATTTGAGTTTGCACTTTATCCAATGCCTATTTTCTCTCCTATTCTGTTTCTTTCAAATTCTAAAATCTGCGCATTTTGAAGCGCATACGTCTATGCAAATGTCTATCCAAATGCATATGTTTGGGCAATTTAGAACGAAATTCTATTATAAAGTTAGCGGTCTCGTTAATAATGTTTTTTTTTCATAATTGGCTTATATCTGATTATGATACTTATTCTGTATGTATATTTCAGGCATGGAAGTTATGGAATGAAGGGAGATGTCTTGAATTGATCGATCCACTTATCAGCTCCTATTTTTCCCAAAGCGAAGTAATGAAATGTATTCACATTGGACTTCTATGCGTTCAAGAATGCCCAGAAGATAGGCCGACGATGCAATCTGTGGCTTTTATGATCGATAGCTCTGATCCTTCACTCCCTAAACCGAAGAAACCCGGTTTTATTGCAAAAAGAGACTCATCTGAATCGAGTTCATGTTCAACTAAGAAAGAGCTGTATAGTGTAGATGATGAAACGATTACTGCTGTAACAGGCCGATAACAGATTATGTATGTGGCTATGTGCTAGATATCAGTAAGATTCTGTATGGCTGAGGCTGTTTTTATTAGACACATGTATTGGATTAAAGAGACATGAGGAAAAACACAATAGAGGAGAATGAGGAGGTTTCAGGTTTTAAATCTTTGTTTACTAACAATGAAAATCCAGAACAAGATATTCTACCAGTATGAGGGTCTTCAAAGGTGCACTAACAGTGAATTGGTGGAACTATGTGGAAATGGAAATCTAAAGGCAAGAATACAAGGATGAAAGATCATATCAGATTTATGCAAACTTCAACCAACTGAACACGACATCAATGAAATGCACGACAACACCAAACAACTCAATGAAGATCTGGAGGATAAAGAACTTTTCCAGCACAAGTATCAATAGTCAGTTCTTAAAAAGTACTGTTGAGATGCATTCCACATATATGTGTGCGTGCGTGTGTGTGTGGTGTAGTTCATTCTAGACAAATCACAACTGTCAGCTAAACAATAAACATTTATTATCAAAACTAGTGATATGTCCAATATTTTTTATAATTAAAAGAATCCAAACCAACTTAAAAAACATTAAACTAATTATTTATAAAAAGTTCCCAACTAAGAGTTCTTTCTATAAGTAAAAAAAAACAATAGCGATATATAGAACCATGAAACTAAATCTCTCATTTGAAATTTAAAGCTGCATCAAATCTTTAATCAGATGGGTTGCATCTAGCTAAGCTTGTGATTTTTGTGCTGAAATTTAAGGACACTGATCATCTTTGTACCAACCAGTAGAGCATGAGCCAACAACCAAAAGGTTTCATTATGAAGAAGACATTGGTGAAAATTATGTTGAGTATGAAAAGGTGAATCGTCCTAGTTCTACAAAGTAATGAATCATGTGATCAACTAGAGTATAATACTCTGCCATACATGCCTTGGATGCATTGGCAGTAAATAGAACTGCCTATAAATGCTTGAATGGAAGTTTCACATTCCATGCATCAGACTTAGACTAAATTACCATTATAACCATATGACTTAATTAAAAGAACGTACATATCAAATTAAAACACTTACTTGTTTGGTTTACCACATTGTCATTGCTAAGGATATGACATATTAGAAATTTCACAGAACTCAAATGTTGACAACTATCTGAAAAATAGTAGAAACATGATTCACAAAAAGATTCCACAGGAACAGTCCAAGAAAATAAACCTAAATTTACAACAATATATGCTTTTTCTACAACGATACTCAAATCATTTTCATTGCAGAATACTTCAAAAATAATATATTACATGCCTAAGCTCTAGAGTCCAAAAATACTCTTCCAATTGGAATTCAACTCCTATCTTTGTGGTGTTGTTAACATTGTTGTAGAGACATTTGGAGGACACCAAGTTGAAATGTCATCTTATGGATTTATATCAATGTCTTATTTGGGTAGGTAGCTATAGCTATGTATCATGTGTATGTGCAACCGATTGAATTATGAGAGTGGCTCTGATAGCACTTATTGAGTCTAGAGGAGTGGTGGATATTAAAAAATATTTTAATATTATTTCTTTAGCAGTACACCCCTCAATACTCTCTCTAATACAAGCACTCTCTCTACTACAAACTAGTCACTCTATTCACAAGCCACTCACTCTTTTTCCCCCTCTTTATATCTCTCTTCTTTTTTTTTTCTTGCTACTGGAATGGCTCTTCTCAATGAAGCCTTGAGGACCTTTTATGGGCCTTGTGAAGTGGTGGATGTACACTGTAGGGGGTAGGTGGTTACTGTTGAAATGGTGGCTGGGTGACTGAGGTAGGTAGCTGCTGACTTCACACAACACAGATACGCAAGGGAAAAAGAAGGGGGGGGGGGGGGGGAGTGGAATCATGGTAATATGCATACAAGTTACTAGCGTAAAACGTGTTGCGTAAAGAAAATGCTAGACTTGATTTTAGTACATAAGAAAGCTAACCATGATTCATAAACTCCCTGCACTTACTGGCCCTACACAAAATAAAAATTCTAGTTCCGCTATGATTTCTTTGCCCATAATTCTCAGAAGTGTTTCTCTTCGTGATTTATTTAATAATGAGAAAAGAATGTACATTATTGTTTGACAATATTTGATTCTAAACCTTAAACTGAATAAAACTACAAGCTACTAGATTGTTGACAAGTTAAGGACATATTAAAGCTTAGGCCCATGAAGCATCAATGTGCACCCAAAGGATGTCAACCCTTGGATCTTGGACCTGCACACGAATCCCAAAGTTCAATGACTGAAGAGCTAACATTCATTTGGTGCACATTTAATATCACAGACCTGGGCGTACTTGATATTTTTTTCAAGAATCATACACTAATCTACCGCATATACAAATTGCCAACTTTTAAATGTCTTATATTGTACAATAGTCTCATTTAAAAATAACAAGAAGTTCTTCAATCATCGGTTAATTTTAATGAATTAAACGTCAGCACTGAGAAGTATACACTCGCAAAAAAATAAATTTAAGACCAATGCATCGGATTTAAACAGATGTGAAAAAGAAACAAACAATTTCTAACTAGGGCAAAAAGTGGGAAAATACATGAAATGAAAAAAGAGGTGGAACCTAAATTAAGAGATATTTTTTGGCCAAAGTCCTAATCTCAGGGGGGAGGGGGAGGGGGAGGGGGACAAATTAGGGTTTAATGTACAGCCTAATTTGACGTGATAAGTCAACCAGAAACCCTAATTTGAACAGAGGCCTTGGAAATTATCCAGTCATCTATAATGAAAGAAAAAACAAAGAGAAACAGTACGTTACCTACCTTGATTTTTTTGGGAATTCACAGGAACCTAAATTTTCCAATTTGGTCGCCTTCATTTCCAACAGAGTTCGCGCTCTCTTCGTTCGGATTTTTTTGAGAACGGCAGCTGGCGGTTGGTTAGGGCCTGTTTGTTTGCCTAAAAAAAAGTTGAAAATCAAAGAAATGGAAAACTATTAAATCAAAGAATTATTTTGGGAGTGTTTGGTTTGCTAAAAAAAGAAGGAAATTAAAGAAATGAAGATGAGTTGTCAACTTATTATAGGATGATGTGAGTGATTTTTTAAGAAAACTTGTTTTGATATTGTTTGGTTGGCGAAAAAAATAATAAAATAAATTATAAGAAACCTATTTCTTGTAATATGTTGTTTTCTTTTGCTTGGTTATTTCTTAAAAAATAAGAAAATATATGAGATGAGATGAGTTGTCATTATATTATTGGATGATGTGACCCACACTTAAGAAAATTGTTTTCCTAGCTTTTTGGCAGGAAAACAAAGAAATAAAATGTTAATGAGATGAGATGAGTTGTCACAATCTTATTGGATGATGTGAGTAATTTTAAAATATGAGATGAGATGAGTTGAGTGATGTTGTTGATGAAAATAATATTTTATTAGATGTGGTGGATGTGATGGATGAGTTGTTAGATAAAAATAATATTTTATTAGATGTGATAGATGAGTTGTTGGATAAAAATAATATTTTATTAGATGTTGTGGGTGAGTTTTAAATAATGTTAGGGGCACACCACCCACCACAACCCCAATCACACTCCCCCCTCTCATTGCTACAGTAAACCGGGTCCCACATGAGATTTTAAAAAATTTAAAATCTCATGTGGGGCCCGGTTTACTGTAGCAATGAGAGGGGGGGTGTGGTTGGGGTGGATGGAAATGTGTAAAATTATACTTTTTGAGTTTTCCTGGTTTGCATTTCTATTTTTTGGTTTTTTAGGAAATAACCAAACAGCCCCTTATAGACAAAGACAGAGGAGTGTGTGTGGGGTGGGGGGGGTGGGGGTTAAAAAGCATTTAATTGCTTGGGTTTTGCATATATACCCTCTCCAATCTTCCATATTCATAATAACATTACGCTCCAAATAATAATGTTGGAAAATTTTTGAAAACAAACCCATTTTGAAACTTATTTATGAAAAACGACTCATTTGCATCTTATTTGTCAAAACCGACCCAGTTTCAGCCAGATGGCTAAAACTAAGTCCGTTTTGACGAAAAATTATCCGAAACTTCACGGGACTTCAAGTCCCGCGAAGTTTTGTTATGTAAAAAAACTTCACGTGATTTCAAGTCCCGTGAAGTTTAGTATTTTTTTCGCTAGCACCGACTTAGTTTTAGCCAGATGGCTGAAACTGGATCGGTTTTGACAAATAAGTTTAGAATGAGTCGTTTTTTTAATAAATAAGTTTCAAAATGGGTTTGATTTCAAATTTTGTCCTAAATGATGTTTGCGGACTTGTACCCTTTAAAACTCGCTTGGTGGACGCGGGCGAACAGGCTCGGCCCTCAGAGCATCTCCAACAGTTTCCCCAAAATTTTCTCCAAAATAGAGAAACAAAAGTCATATTCTCCAAATTATTTTTGCTCCAACTCCAACAGCTTTCCCATTTTGAAAAATCGCATTTATTACAATAATAAAGCTCTCCCCAAAAAATTTGGAGAATGCTGCAGATTTGGGGAAGGCTACCTATTTTTTCTCCTCCTTCCCTATTTTGAGGAATGAGATGGGGAATCTGTTGGACCAAAAAAAAGCTCTATATTCTCCAAATTTGAGTATTTCAAGAAGATGGGGAAGCTGTTGGAGATGCTCTCAGAACCTAAATTGGCCCGGTGTAACTCGGCCCAGATTTTCACATCGGAGGATCCACAAAAGCACTCACTTTTGGGTCCGACGGAGGTGTCGAGCCACCTCCTCACGAATGACCCTCCACGCGTCATCAAGATTTGCCCCCCTGCCATCACCGTCGTTCTAGCCCATGCCACACTTTCTGCGTCATTTACGCTCATCCACCCCCCCCCCCCCCTCCTTCTACATCCCACTGAGCCCCTGCTTCGCCCCTCGATGGAGCTGTGCACAGAGGCAGCAGCAGCAGGTCGTCGTGGGACGTCTTCGAGAAAGTCTTGGCGCATCGCAGAGCAACGGTCGGCCTCGGCTGCCTTTCGTCGCGCGCCTGCTCGCTCTCCTCTGCCTCGCCTCTCCTTCCCCTCCGTGCCTCCTCCTCGCTGGATACGCATGCGCCGACAGAGCCATGATGCATCTGTTCCCCGCCGAGGCACCGCACGCACGAGAGGCGCATGGAAGAGGAAGAGAGAGAAGCGGAGACGAGGATATCGGGGGGGCGAGGAGGAGGGGCAGGATCGCAGATCGAAAGGGATCGGAAGAAGCGCGAGGCACGGCGTCGAAGGCCGAGACTCCTGCGCGCCACTGTGGAAGGAGGAGGAGAGGAGAGGGGAGGAGGGGGAGGGCGAGGAACGACCATCCGAGGCCAAGAAGAGTAGTACTGGTTGACGATCGATGACGGATGGTGTTAATTTGTTGCTGCATGCTGTTGTTGTTGTGATGCGCCTGCCTGCTGTGTGATGCGCTTGTGGTTGGCATTTTCTTGAATTTCTTGATGTTTAGTCTTTAAGTTTGTGTGTGTAAAGGTAAACAATGTTCAGGGGGTTATGTGCAACACCCTCAAGGGATTTCGTGAAATTAGCCCTATTTTTAATCCCAAGTCTATAGATAAAAATTACAGAAATAAATATGTATAATGTGAATATTTATTATATTTGAAAGTTATCAAAATTAGTAATTTGGAAATAGCGGATCTGTAAGTATATATAAAGCATCTCTTAACAAAAATTATAATAAAAATATAATGAGGAAATACGTGCATATTCAAATATTACTAGTCTTCTTTAAAAGTTCTAAACTCGGTTCACCTCCTTGAAACCAGTACACATATTTTAGCCATATGATTCAAGGGGTGTATGCTCGTATGCTCAAATTAACCTATGGAAGATACCGAAATAAGGACAAATTTTGAAAATCGATCTATTTACAAAAAAATTATAAAAATCGACCTATTTATAACATATTTGTCAAAATTGATCTAGTTTCTGGCTGAAACCGGCTAATAAAACATCATTGGAATTAAAGCCCTATGAAGTTTTGCAGTGTACAAAACATCACGGACACGGAGGTTAAAGTCCAGTGAAGTTTCAAAAAAAATTTGGTCAAAATCGAGTCAGTTTCAGTCAGATGGCTAAATTTGGATCGATTTTGACAAATTCGTTGTAAATAGTTTGTGTTTTTATTTTTATTTATTTTTAAATAGGTCGATTTTCAAAAATTGTCCACCAAATTAATTGCGAACCTGATCACTTGGCCATTAATAGCAAATCCGCCTTCTCCTCTCCACCGCAGCTTCGCTTCTCCTCCCGCCAAAGAAATGGAAACCGAAATCGAGAGGAAGAGGGGAAAGAGGGAGGAAGGACCGCCATGGATTCTCTCAGGCTTCCGTTCCCCTCCTCAGCCTTCTTCCTCCTCCTCCTCTTCCCCCTCGCCGCCCTCGGCTCAGGCACGGTCTTCAGCGTGCAGCGCAGGTTCTCGGGCGGTGACCACATTGAAAGCTATTTCTTGCTAATATGTTGTTTTTCCTTTTGCCTTGGTTAATTTCCTAATAAAAAATAAGAGAGAATATGAGATGAGAATGATTGCATTATACTTATTGATGATGTGACCCACACGTTAAGAAAATTGTTTTCCTAGTCTTTTGGCAGGAAAAAAAGAAAATAAGAATGTTAATGGAGATGAGATGAGTTGTCAACAATCTTATTGGGGATTGATGTAGCATAATTTTAAAATATGAGATGAATGAGTTGAAGTTGATGTTGTTGATGAAATAATCATTTTATTAATGTGGTGGATGTGATGGATGGAGTTGTTAGATAAAATAATTATTTTATTAGATTGATAGATGAGTTGTTTGGATAAAATAATATTTTATTAAGATGTTGTGGTGAGTTTTTAAATAAATGTTAGGGGCAACACCCACCACAACCCCAATCAGCACTCCCCCTCTCATTGCTACAGTAAACCGGTCCCACATAGATGTTTAAAAAATATTTAAATCTCATGTGGGGCCCGGTTTAGCTGTAGCAATGAGAGGGGGGTGTGGTTGGGGTTGTGCGTGGTCTGGTGTGCGCCCCTAACACAAAGGGATGAAATGTGTAAAATTATACTTTTGAGTTTCCGGTTTGCATTTCTATTTTTTGGTTTTTTAGGAAATAAACCAAACAGCCGCTTAATGACAAAGACAGAGGAGTGTGTGTGGGGTGGGGGGGGTGGCGGTGTTAAAAAGCATTTAATTGCTTTGGGTTTTGGCTATATATACCCTCTCGCAATCTTCCATAATTCATAATAACGATTACGCTCACAAATAAATGTTTTGTGAAAATTTTTGAAACAACCCATTTTGAAAACTTATTTATGAAAAACGGACATCATTGCATCTTATTTGTCAAAACCGACCCAGTTTCAGGCAGATGGCTAAAACGTAAGTCCGTTTTGACGAAAAATATCCGAAATATCACAGCGGACTTTCAAAGTCCCAGCCGAAGTTGTTTGTTAATGTTAAAAAAAACTTCACTGTGAGTTTCAAGATCCCGTGAAGTTTTAGTATTTTTTTCGCTAGCACCGACTTAAGTTTTAGCCAGATGGCTTGAAACTGGATCGGTTTTGACAAATAAGTTTTAGAATGAGTGCGTTTTTTTAATAAATAAGTTCAAAATGGTGTTTGATTTCAAATTTGTTCCCTAATGATGTTGTTGCGGACTTGTACCCTTTAAAACTCGCTTGTGTGGACGCGGCGAACAAGCTCGGCCTCAGACCATCGTCGCAAGTTTCCCCAATAATTTTCTTCCAAAATGAGAAAAAAAGTCATATTCTGCCAAATTATTTTTGGCTCAACTCCAAACGCTTTCCCCGATTTTGCAAAAATCGCAATTTATTTACAATAATAAAGCTCTCCTCCGCAAAAAATTAGAGAATTGCTGCAGATTTGGGAAGGCTACCTATTTTTTTCTCTCCTTCCCTATTTTGAGGAATGAGATGGGGAATCTGTTGGACCGAAAAAAAGCTCTTATTCTGCGCAAATATTTGAGATTTCAAGAAGATGGGGAAAGCTGTGGAGATGCTCTCAGAACTAAATTGGCCCGGTGTAACTCGGCCCAATTTTTTTCAGCAGTCGGAGGATCCACAAAGCACTCACTTTTGGGCTCCGACGCGAGGTGTCAGCCACCTCTCACGAATGACCCTCCACGCGTCATCAAGATTTGCCCGCCCTGCCATCCGCGTCGTTCTAGCCCATGCCACACTTTCTGCGTCAGTTTACGCTCTCCACCCCCCCCCCCCCCTCCTTCTACATCCCACTGAGGCCCCTGCTTCCCCCCTCGATTGGACGTGCACAGAGGCAGCAGCAGGCAGGTCGTCGTGGGACGTCTTCGAGATAAGTCTTGGCGATCGCAGGAGGCACGTCGGCCTCGGCTGCCTTCGTCGGCGCCATGCTCGGCTCTCCTCTGCCTGCGCCTCTCCTTCCCCTCCGTGCTCCTCCTCGCTTGATACGCATGCGCCGACAGCAGCCATGATGCATCTGTTCCCCGCAGGCACCGCACGCACGAAGAGGCATGGAAGAGGAAGAGAGAGAAGCGGAGACGAGGATATCGGGGGGGCGAGGAGGAGGGGAGGATCGAGATCGAAAGGGATCGGAAGAAGCGCGAGAGCCGGCGGTCGAAGGCGAGACTCCTGCTGCCGCCACCTGTGGCAGGAGGAGGAGAGGAGAGGGGAGGAGGGGGAGGGAGGAACGCCATCCGAGGCCAAGAAGAGTAGTACTGTTGACGATCGAATGACGGATCGGTGTTAATTTGTTGCTGCATGCTGCTTGTTGTTCTGATGCCCCTGCCTGCTGTGTGATGCGCTTGTGGTTGACATTTTCTTGATTTCTTGATGTTTAGCTTTAAGTTGTGTGTGTAAAGGTAAACAATGTTCGGGGGTTATGTGCAACACCCTCAAGGATTTCGTGAATTAGGCCCTATTTTAATCCCAAGTCTATAGATAAAAATTACAGCAAATAATATGTATAATGTGAATATTATTATATTTGAAAGTTATCAAAATTAGTATTTGAAATAGGCGGATCTGTAAGTATATATAAAGCATCTCTTAACAAATATTATAATAAAATATAATGAGGAAATACTGTGGCATATCAAATTATACTAGTCTTCTTTAAAATTCTACTCGGTTCAACCTCGTGAAACAGTACACTATTTTAGCCATTATCGATTCAAGGGGTGTACTGCTCCGTATGCTCAATTAACCTATGGAAGATACCGACATAAGGCAAATTTTTGAAAATCGATCCTATTTACAAAAAATTATTAAAATGACCTATCTTTATAACATATTTGTCAAAATTGATCTAGTTCTGTCTAAACCGGCCTAACTAAACATCAAATTGGCAATTAAGCCCTATAGAAGTTTTGCAGTGTACCAAACCATCACGTTGGACACGGGGTAAAGTCCAGTGCAAGTTTCAAAAAAAATTCTGGTCAAAAATCGAGTCCAGTTTCAGTTCAGATGGCTAAATGTTTGGATGCGATTTGACAATTCGTTGTAATAGTTTGTGTTTTTATTTTTTATTTATATTTAAAAATAAGGTCGATTTCAAAAATTGTCCACCAAAATTAATTGGCGAACCTGATCACTTTAGGCCATTAATAGCAATCCGCCTTCTCCTCTCCAGCCGCAAGCTTCGCTTCTCCTCCGCCAAAGAAATGGAAACCGGCGAAATCGCAGAGAAGAGGGGAAAGAGGGAGGAAGCAGACCGCATAGATTCTCTCAGGCTTCCGTCCCCTCCTCAGCCTCTTCCTCCTCCTCCTCTTCCCCTCGGCCGCCCTCGGCTTCAGGCACGGTCTTCATCGCGTGCAGCGCAGGTTCTCGGGCGGGTGACCACACCATCGCGATCTCAAGAGAACCACGATCTCAACCGCCACTGGCGCGCGCCTGCTCTCCGCCGCTCCATCATTTCATCTCGGCGGAACGGCCTTGCACATCTACTGGGTACCGTCATTTCGTTGTTGGTTGTTCGTCTCTAGGGTTTTGATCGATATTTTTCGCTGGTGATTGAATGGGGGGGGGGGGAATGGATGATGGATGGCAGGTTGTACTTTACTGAGATTGGGATCGGGACGCCTCCCAAGAATTTCAGCGTGCAAGTTGATTCAGGGAGTGATATCCTGTGGGTGAACTGCGCTCCTTGCGAGGGGTGCCCCAAAACTAGCATCCTGGGGGTACGTTTGCTTCCCAAATTCATATCCTTCTCTTACTAGTAATAGTATATGACGCCAGCTGCGAGTATAAATGAGTAAGAGGATGTTCTGGACCGTTTGGAGGCAGGCAGGCTGCAGTTTGGGG